TCTATAGCGCCAACTCACAACACAAGTCATCTCAAGGCACTTTACAGTTCAGCATATCATGCAGTCAAATTGATTCAAAGTTTTCTATCTAAGAAAAACGAGTTGATTGTTTCGACTCATTGACTCAAATGCAATTGCTTACACTAAGCATGCTTGTAGCGACAGTGGAGAGGAAAAAACTCCTTTTAACAGGAAGAAACCTCCAGCAGAACCAGGATCAGTAATAGCTAATGGAACGAGCACGTAGGACGGCCTTACATAAACATATCACCAGAATGATTGACAATTATGAGGACCACTTATTTACATGATCTACCTGGAAAAAGAACATCCTTCACTATACCTTTAAAGGTTTTAAACCAAACTGTAGGATTGTCTTCTGGAGGCATTCAACCTTGTTGCATTAAATAAAGAATACAATAATGATCATCATGGATAAATGTAGCAACCAATAATGGAGTCTTTCATGATGCAATGAAATATGTTGGACATTTTGGGTTGATTAAAGCTGGCCCTGTTGTTGACACAATGCTCCTGTGAGATTAACGTATTTTCAAACAGCTTATCTTTACCATAGAAGGTGGTTGACGGACTAATGGTCCAATGTCACTTTTTTAGGCAGGGTTAAATGATGGGGAGCCTGACGGCACATAAAAGACCGTTAAGTTGCTGATTGATCTCTAAACAAAGTGCTACACATTATCAGCCATCTAACGAGTCTCTGGACTGTTTGTGGATACATGTTTAAAGGTTTTCCATTACTTTGGGGTGAAGTTTTTTCTCCTATGATTTAGGTACATAAACATGCTAAAACCTCTTTTTTTTACAGAAATGATCCATAGTTTTTTTGGAGTCCATGTGTTAATTTAGTGGCAACATTAGGTTGTTTGAAGGAGTAAAGTTAGAATAGATGAAGTGACAAGAAATGGTGGACGAGGCTACTTGGTCATTCTAAAGGGAATGATGTTCTGACATTAATGCTTTCCACAAACAGAGATGTAGCCCATTGGTAGCAGCATTACAACCCCATTTTTTTTTATCTGGCCATAATAAATCGGAGTTTCAAAGAAAGCCATTGTTAAAAGAAAGCAATAAGAAAGTTGTTTGCTCAAGCCATTAAAACAAGGTTCTTTAGGGCTACATATACAACAATTACCTACACACAAAAAATGAAAATAAGAATGCAATATTTTACACACAACTAAGGGATGTATTAAAATGAAAGTTGCGAGGACATGTAAAGTGTACTAAAACATGCCGAAATACAGTTAAATATAAATCCATTCAATTTCATTTAACTCAGGGAGGATAAACCTGATTTTCTTTAAAAGATTTAGAAAGTTTATGGTTTAAACCAGACGAATAAAAAGGATTTGGATTCATTTAAACACGCGTATCCCATCAAGACTTAATAATAATAATAATAATAAATCCAATTTGTACCGCACTTTTCATTAAGAAAAATCTCAAAGTGCTACACTGTGCAAATAAAATCAAAGATAAAAATCAACCATAAAAATCATGTGGTCAATAAAATCAAAGATAAAAAACAAAAAAAAAAAAAAAACTTCACAGCACTGCAAAAGTCCACCTCCCAACAGACATAGAGAGACAACATAAACATCTACCAAAACCTAAAATGGGACTGGGCTGCATCTTTAATTTTAGTTATACGTTTTTTTTTTGCTATATATATTTTTCAAACCAATCAAATATTGCAGCTCAGAAGAATTAAGCTTTTTCTTCTTCATTGTAAAATGTAAATGTTTGTACAGTGTTGGCTTAACTGCTGTACTTATAGTGTTGCTCTTTCAGCAAATTGCAAGTTTTAAAGTTTGTTTTTCATTTAACAGTTTTTTATTATTACTAGAAGAGATGACCACAAATTAATATTAATCAGATTAAATGTGATTAATCACAATTAATCTGATTCATTGTTTCAGCCTAACATTGTAATAATTTTTACATACCTACATGTTTTGGGGTGTCTTGGGTTCTTGAACTGCTGTAAATTCGATTCCGAATTTTTGGCTTGAGGACTTGAAAACTGATGTTTGCTGATTTTCTTCCTTTCAATTTGACTGAATTTAAACTGTTTTCAAAAGAAGAATGGGTCAAGATCTTTAAATCTCTTGCTGAGCAATACTGGTAGAGATACGCCCCAAAAGACTTAAATATGTGGTCTATTTATTTCGTTCACAATACTTGGCCTGTCAAGAAAATATTACAATAAGTCACTTTAAAGTAAGAGGCTTTAATGTGGAAAAAAAAAGAAAAAAAGTGAAATTTGAAGGGGGATAAAGCTCAATAAGTCACTGCATTAACAGACTAACCTGATCTCTGTTTTCTTTTCTCCAGGACCGGTCAGCAGTTTGTTGGTCAGACGCTTTGGAAGCCGGCCAGTGGTCATGATGGGTGGACTGATGTGTGGGGTTTCTATGGTAACAGCCTCGTTCGGGAGCTCCATTGTTTACCTCTACCTTTGCATCGGCATCATTGGAGGTATATATTTGGTTAAGTTTTTTTCTTTTCTTAATAATAATAATAATAATTATAATAATAATAAATCCAATTTGTACCGCACTTTTCATTAACAAAAATCTCAAAGTGCTACACAGTGTGAAACTGTGCTGCCTGTAAAGTTTTGGATAAGATTTATTTAACTGAATGAAATCCTAATTTGAAATCTAGAACCACTTATCCCGTTTGCTGTTTTACTAAGTGTTCCTATTCTCCATGGATCGAATGCTTGGGGGCAGAGGAAGTTGCATTCTATTTGGCTTTGCTAAGAAGCACTGATTTGGCCTCTGTGCTGCGTGTCCTGGGCTTTGGGTGTCTGCCTCGGCTCCTGAGGTGCAGTTAGAGCAGGGAGAGAGCCAGCGCCATGACAGTAATTAAGACAGAACTATCTCTGATCCCAGAGAGCATAGGGTTTAATCGTCCTCCATCGCTTCCCTGCAGTCTCCAATCACGGCCGTCGCATGGGGGTCCTCCGCCACCCTATGAAGCTCATTACTCCGCCAAAGGCTCCTCTGAAGCATTAATAGTCCCAGCAAGTGGCTAAGCTGTGTCCTGTGCCCATGGGCTTGTGTCGGCACTTCTCCCATGTGTCCTTTTATACTGACTTGCATGGTATCATTCAGCCTCACCTAGCAGGGATACTAGCATGTTTACACAAAATAAGCATATGTTAGTAACAGTTAGTTACAACCTTATTTCAGATTCCTTTCAAATCTTCCTCCATCTAAATTTTCTTATTTCCCACTAATATTAAACAAATACAATCAAGTCTACTGAGAGTCTGCTGACAGCGTCTACAATGTCTTAGATGAGGAATGTAAGCGCATAGTCACATTAACTACACCAAGTGAGATCTTTTATTTATGAATTATTCCTACTTACGATGAAAAAAAAAAGTTTCAAAGAAGCTTAACAAGCTAATAAAGAAGGCTTGCTCTGTTCTCATGTGATTATTTTACAAAGAGTTCTTCATAAAAATCACATGGAGAACAATACGGAAAACCACGAGCATCTGCTTCATCAGATAAAGTATTTTAACTTTGAACTGAAAAAGGAAAAGAGTAAAAAAATTTTATCATCTTTACTTGCGCTACCAGATGTGGACTGGAATAAAATCTGCACAATATGATGGTTCTGTATCACATAATTTGCACAAAAATTCAAAACAAAAATACATTTCCTAATATTTTTTCCTCAAGAAAACAACCATTGTTCTTCCGGCTTTTGAAAAAAATGCAACAACAAAAAAATAACTTTAGTAGTTTTGAATGGGTAATTTAAAAAAAAAAAAGCTTTATTTTGATGATGATACATAGACAACCCAGGAAAGTTGTTTTAGTTATTTAATACTCAACATGCTTGTTGCAAAGAATGATGCGACCTCATTACTTTTGAGCTTCATTGTAAATTAAGTAAATCTTGTGCTTTTAGTCTTATTATAGCTAATTTAGCCTTTTTTTTTTTATAAGAGAAGAAAATGTTTGCAGTGCAGAAGCATTCTTTAAGCCAGCTGACAGGCAGTGCTAATCACCAGTCGTTCCTGTTCTTTATCAGACATCTCTTCAAAAGGACTTTAAATTGTAGAAATGCCATGACTGAACATTTTAGAATTTCTGAAGCCATACTGTTTTAAAATGTTTTTATACCTTGATACCAGTAACTGATCAATGTCTATTTGATGCATAATAGGGATTACCAATACGAAAATTAAAACATGATCTACATTATAAGTCCATAATATTAATAAACAATAAAAATATGGATTGCGTAAATGGTTTCTTTAGGCTTTTATGCTAGAAATTTGAATTCCAAGTTCAACAGTGCAGTATGTATATAGATATATATATCTATATACATACTTGCATACATATATGCTTAGGGCTCTTATTTTGTAAGCTTGAAGGAAGATGTATCTCTGGTTATCTGATTTAGTGACTAACCAAAATACAGCAGGTAAAAAGTCTGATATTATTATTGGCTTGGAATTTGACATAAATATGAGATTAATGCTCAGACAGCTGATTAAAAAAAAAAAACAATAATTTTGTTATCTGATTTAAATGCAAAGACAAACACATCTGTATAAGAGCTGTTTTCTTTCTCTGGTTAGTGGTTAAAATGCATCCCAGCTTTATCTTTGCTGTTTTTTTCCTTTGTGAAGTCAGACTGCTCTTTTCAACAGACATCCACAGACTAAATATTGCTGCAGAATTTTCCCATCTATTCATTAAAATGTGTAGCTTTTCCATACGAGATAAAAGTTTGTCGACTGGGCTAAAGCAGGGGGAGGAAAAATAATGAGTTTTAGCAGAGTGTAGAACTACAATTTAACAAACTTACCTATGAACTTAGAACGGAGCAGTAAATTGACATTGGAAAGAGAAAATATAGCCTTGCAACCATGTAGCTGTAGCTCTTCATCTTCCTTAAATTAAGGTGCTATTAAATTAATATGTTCAGAGTAGAAGGCAGGAGAGTAAATGTATTACCTCGGCTACCTAATTTATTTCTACTTAAATGGAGAAATTATTTCTGAAAAAATTCCAGCATTCTGTAATGAGATTTTAGATGGCAAAAGTAAAATGAGATGAAACCTAAATGAACACGGAGCACAATCATTTCTGATTTAATTTAGGAAGGGCCCTCTGGAGTTTAGCCTCAGCACAGTTTTCCTTCTTGAGCATTTTAAATGTGACTCTCTTTAATATTTTTTTTCCCCATGCTCTTCCTGAATGCAGGCTGGGGACTCTGCTTTAACCTGAACGCATCTCTCACCATCATCAGTAAATATTTCCTCACCAAGCGACCGTTGGCCAACGGACTTGCCATGGCTGGCAGTCCGGTGTTCCTCTGTTTCCTGGCCCCTCTTAACCAGTTTCTGTTAAGACATTTTGGCTGGAGAGGAAGCCTGCTTATCCTCGGTGGAATGATGTTAAACTGTTGTGTTGCGGGGGCCTTGATGAGACCTGTACCTCAGCCCCCTCACCCAGGATCTATGGCACCGCCAGTGGAAGTGCAACAGGCAAACATCACAAAGTCAAAAGGAAGCTGTATGAAGACAGCTAAGACGTTTGTAGATCTGTCTTTCTTCAAAGATCAGGGCTTTATCATCTACCTCATTGGAAATGTGATGTTCATCTTTGGCGCCTATGCGCCCATCGTGTTCCTGTCAGCATATGCAATTAAGCAAGGTGTGGAGGAGTACTCAGCAGCCTATCTGCTCTCTATCATGGGCTTTGTTGATATGTTTGTTCGGCCTGGCACCGGATTGGTAGCCAACAGCAAGTGGATCAGGCCGAGAATCCAGTACCTCTTCAGCTTCGCTATGATCTTCAACGGCACCATTCATCTGCTTTGCCCTCTGATGACGACCTACCCCCTGCTGGTGGCCTATGCCGTGTTCTTTGGCGTGGGATTCGGGATGGTGTTTGCCCTAATATTCGAATGTCTCATGGACCTGATGGGAAACCAGCGCTTCCCTAGCGCCGTGGGACTGGTGACCATTATCGAATGCTTCCCCATGTTACTGGGACCCCCCGCTGCAGGTATTGTTCCTTTAAAATTATTTATCCGTACACAGACATGACACATGAATACTTCTCTGAATACATGCTGAAAAACATTTTCCCAGGTGTACAAATCTCACTTTTTTATCTCTAAAGTTACACAACTAGATTTGCTCTCGGATGACTGCAGTAAATATTGCAACACCACAGACCAAAGAGCGAGTCAACAATGTAAACTCTGATACATTCACGTAGGTGTGTGCAAATTTGCAAACAAGCTACCTCCAGTATGCACCACATTGATTATGTAATCATGTTTATCTCGTCTTTTTAAGCCTGATTGATGATTTTTTTATTACAGTAAAAAGGGGCATGGAATATCACTATGGTGTTCAGTTTGCATAAAATGCCCCTTTCAAGGCTCCAGCATAACATGATTTTGTTTTGTCAGGGTCTCTACATCAGTCTTTGTGTCACCAAACATAAACCTTTTTCAGTTAAATTGGAGCCACTTTTTCTAATACCCAATAAGAAGAAGAACAAGAGAAAAAGGAAATTATTACCATTATACCCATCAGGTTTATGTTTTCCTGACAAGCCAATTAAGTGAACCTAGAAATTATTAGATGACATCATCTTTGATAAAACAACCATTCTTTGCTAATTGATGGGAACAATGTGTTAGAAAATATAAAAACAAAATATGATGTTTTTTGGCCTCCACGGATGTTAGGCAAGTTATAGTTAAAAAGGTAAAGTGGAGGATGTTATTTTTGTCGGTGGATCATCAAAATAAGTGGTCCTCCTAATTGTTAATCATTCTGGTGATATTTTTACGTAAGGCCGTCCTATGTGCTCGTCCCCATTTTCACTTACCGGTGGTGAGTCTGACATAGTGGAAAAATTGCAAATCTTCTTTTGGAAAGAAAGCTTGTATGAGCGATGCAAACAGTAACTTTTAGACAGAGCGTGCAGGAGGAGAAATGGCCTGGTGCATGCTTTTGCACGCGTTTAATAAGCTTCTCTCTCGGGAGCATGTAGAGGGCTTTTGCATGCATGTGCATTTTTTTTCTTAAAGTGGAGAGGGCGGGTCTTTTCAAAAATTGCACATATCCTCCGCTATACCTCTTAATTTATAGTGTAAATTAAGGGTTAGGGTTAGTGGAGTGTTGGGGAATGTTGGCCCAGTGGTTAGAGCAGTGCGCTTGTGCTCTGAAAAGGTTACAAGTCCCCGGTTCGATCCCCACAGCCTGCACTCTGGCTCCCTGAGCAAGACCCTTAACCCTACACTGCTCCCCAGGTGCCGCACCGTGCAAGTCCACTTTTCCCAAAGGGGATGGGTCAAGTGCATTTTTTTTACTACTTGGATTTTATCTTTGATTTTTTGCTTAAAATAAACTATTTATTTACGATTCATTTCAAAGGTAAGAGGGAAAAGGTTCAATTCAGATGTTGCTTGTTTTATGATACATCCAAGGTATTTACTGTATTGTATTTAAAGACCAGTTCCTTATATTTGTAGTTTGATGCAAATATTCATTGTGTAGACACTTTTTACCTTTGCAGAAGTTCCCTTTTACTCTTACACTGTTATATTACAAGCATTGCCTTGCAGTACTCTCAGGCATACCGTACATATTGTGATTGTTAGGTTAGCCAGGCTGCCGCAGATCCCATGCTACTCTGCCCAGACGCTCTGTCTGCACTGATGAAGATTGACTCATTTCGCCATGCTAAATCCTTGAGGTTATGAAGGGAGGTTCCACTCAGACACAAGCTTTGGTCCGTCCTGAACTTTTTCTGATAGTTAATACTTCCTGTCTTATTAAGAAATAACAGGAACTTGGATTTCTCTGAAAACAAGAACATTTTTTTTTTTTTCAAGCCAGTTTTTTAGGTTTTCAGCTCTGGTGTGATATCTACTTGGGGTGTTGTAAGTTCTCACCTGCAAAGAAAATATTTGTATCATCTGGAAACTAAACAAACTTAAATATTTTGTTTATGTGGAGAGGAAGAAAAGATAGAGTGACCCCACAAGCAATATCCAAGCTCACTGTCATCCATTTCATGGTACTTGAAAAGCTCCTCATCGACTCCAGAGCCACCTCCACTACACCATAATGCTCTCATTTCCTGATTAATATATTGTAAAAAAGCTAACCCCCCCATCCCCCCCTTTTTCAACAAACAAACCAATTTGCAAAGTTAATTTTTAATCTATGGAACTGCTGACTTCCTCTACTTTACTCGAACTGCCAAAACTGTGCATCTGTGTGATCCAAATCTATACTGACTTTAAAACGTAGCTTCGGTTAACAAGGAGTTTCTGTAGAGGTAATGAAATAGGCCTATAATTTAACGAATCGGGGTCTTTCTCAAGTTTTGTATAACAATATGATTTTTCAATTTTTCCGTTTTATTTGGAAATTAACCCATTTGGTAAGAGGGAACAGATATGAGTCAATGGTCTAACAACTGAATCTATAGCTCTTTTTACATGTAATAACAGTCAGTTTTTTCTTTTTACATTTGTTAACATCTATGATTTCTATCTTTCCTGATAGCCATTTTTAAGTGTCAATCCTCCTTTATTTAGAAGTGTTTTAATGTAATGAATTGAATAAATGACTTTGTGATGGCTAAAACCTTACAGACACTTTATCTCTTCAAATCTGTCTTTAACGGAAGTGAAAAGTTTTAGCCCCCCCCCCCAGTTGTGTCTGGAGCAACCCTGTCTCATTTCATGGGGTAAAAAGTGCCTCCTCACTTGTGTAACATTCCCATCCAGAGGGCACAATCATTATGTATACCGTACCTGCTTGCTGCTGCTCCTCCAAACCTTCAGGTCAAGCCAATTAGGAGGAAGTGAGGTGAGTGAGGGTAATTAGCCTTTTGCGTTGGATGTTTAATGATGCTCAGTTCAAACTCTTGTCATTAAAGTCCTGTACCTGGGCCATAATTAGGCTGTGAAGGCACTAAAAAAGAGGAGGGTGACTATGCCAGATGGACATAATTACTGCTTAGCCAATCAAGGACTGTCTTAATGAGGGTGTTGGTCATCTGAGTACAGGCACCAGATGAGTGTTATCAATCAGATAAGGCATTGAGAGGCTTAGAATAACAGCCAGAATGAAAAGTGACCCTTCAGAGTGCATGCACATACATAAACATTATGAAGATCCTCATCGGCTGGAAAAGTTAAAAATTGTTGAACTTATAGAAAATCATCAAAGGCTCATTTTTAATGGACTTTACACCCTAAAATAAAGTTGTTAAGGTGATGTTATGTAAAGTGGTGAGTAATAAAAATGTTTTCGGCATGTATGAAAAGCTGCATTGAAAGTTTAAAAAGTTTATGTAAAAAAGTAAAAGTTCAGTTGTTACAGTAGGTATCTTCTCTTTAGTGTGATCTCATAAAACTTTATTCCATTCAATGTTTTGTTTCCAGATTTTATTTTATTTTTTTTTCTCCAGAGCTTATTAGTTTTTATTTTTTCTCTTTTCCTAAAAGTATTACAAAAAGCAAAGCAAGTTTATTATATATTGCATTTCAGCAGTATGACTATTCAAAGTGCTGTACATGATATGATAAGATAAAACAAAGCACACATCAATGGCATAAAGACGCTTGTAGGATGGATGGTGGACATGCATATAGATAAATAGGATAGTAAAGAATAAAAACCTACCGAACTACTCTTGGAAAAGAGTTTTTCATATTTAGAAAGTCAGATAACTGACCTATACGAGTACAAAATCCCAATTGGAGTATTTAGGTTTTCAGCTGTTCAAAGGAAGGACTTTAGCACTAGAAGAGCAGTGACCCAATACTGGATCGGATATTGGATGAATGACGTTGATCTAGCATTCTGGTTTAGGTATTTAAAAAAAAATTTTTATGAATACACACAGCAATGCAGTCACTATGATCAGCAGCGAGTTTCAGGGAGCTTACATTTTAAAACGTCTCTTTGCAATGTACTTTACATGGAAGTGTTATTTAAATATTTTTGCTGCCAATAAACTCTTTATTTGTTTATGAATAATGTCATGAAATGTGTTGTATTGGTGCTTAAATTACCATTTTAACAGGTTTTAACAGGTCAAGCTTGATGGCTCCTCTCACATGGCCGCTATACAGTTCATTTATTTAACAGTAGTATTAGATTGGTAATGGGTATTAGCTGATATGCTCTGCCAAGGTATCAGATTATATAGGAAAATACTGGATCAGTGCCTCTCTATGCTGCTCGACCACAGATGGTGATATAGAGAAAATCACTGTGTTATGCGTTTGTGGGAGAAGGTGATCTGGGTATTTCCTTCAGGCCCTTAACACCCGGAGGCTTAAATCTGATTTGAAGAACATTTTTCTTCCTTATGCAGACCTGAAGTCGGTGTTTATGACTTGAATTGCCTTCACTAGCGATCCGTTTTTGAAGCAGCCATCCAAAGTGCTTTCCAATAAATCTCAAGTCAGAAAGAGAGCAGTGGCCCTCTGTTAGTCTCAAAGCAGGTCCTCTCTCCCTGTCCTCACTCGTTCTTTTTTACACACTCATATAAGAACAAGGTTATCCAAGTCAGGTTCTGTTCGACTTCCAAATTACTAGCTGTTAAAATGTTGTTTTTTACTTTTTTTTGTTCTCTAGGGTTACTGGTGGACATCTTCGGTGACTACAAGTACCTTTTCTTAATGTGTGGAGGTGTAATCACGACGGGGGGAGTTTTTCTCCTCATCATGAACGTCTACAACTACAACAGGTTAGACAAAGCAAAGAGAGGGAACAGCTCAGAGCAGAACCAGAACAATACGGAGCAGAACCAAAACACCATTGAGAACCAGGAGCAGGAGAGCAGCTCAGAGGCTCAGAGGGAACTGATGGATGTGGCCCAATCAGATCCAGCCGGCCAGGAAGAAACCAGTTAAACCATTTACTGACTGATGTATTACTGCAATAATATGATGAAAATGGAAAGCTTTTATTTCAGCTCCGGAGCAGAGAAGTGGATCTGGATTTAAAAAAAAGATGCTTCAAACCCCTTAAAATGAATCCAATATTTTTCATCTCAGCACCCTGCTAACGGACCTGATGATCACCCAGTTTCTGTTTCTGGGCGATCCCAGGAAATTTTCATTCAAAATGTCCTGTTTTATTTAAGAGTTCATGACACAATGCTGAGATTTAGCAGAGAAACAGGCCCACAGCCTCAATAATCCCCAACATACCTAACAATGGGCACGAATTGCTTTTCTAGTCATGTCGTATTTCTACTTTTGTGACAAATTCAAAGACCCTTTAAAGGAATAATACATTTTGAAATAAAGCATCAGTCAATTATTCTAAAATAATTGGTAGAAGCATTGGCAATAATTATGCCATTAGATTTTGTTAAACTGTTATTTGAGCCCCCCACCCCTTTAAATGAAGGACTTGATTTATCTATATCTATAAAACATGGATTTATTTTATTTTTACACATATTTCTGAACGGTTTTCACATCCTTTGACTGAGAATGTCGTTACCTCAACACCACGGCCATAGTTTAGAAGTGAATAGATGACGTGTGATAATCTAATAATTGAATAACTTCTCAGGTATTGTTTAACTTTAAATTTCAGGGCTTATTCTGTCTGTGATATAAAAACATACTTTTTACACTGTTACACAAGAGCCTTAATGGTGAGGCCATCAGAATACTTGCATTTGAGAAATGTCATTAAGCATTTGACTTTTAAGAAAACTAGCTAAATCTACATGAATTAGAGAATTGCAGAATTTCACCTTTTAAAGTATCCTTTCAAATTCACTTAATAGGTCATATACTACAGAATATTACAAAAAACATATTTAGAACTGTGAAATGAACTGCTGAGATTAAATATAAAAGAGGAGTTTCTAATAAACTCTTTTTTTTTTCTTACTATGTGGGCATGTAAATATAAGCTTGATTAATATAGTCTTAGACCATACTAATCACTAACACTGTTTTTTAAACTTGACATGTCCTCTAAATGGTGTTCAAGAAGAATAAGAAAAGCTCAAATGCTGATTTTACCTCAGTAATATTATGGTCCTGACAGGCTTCCCAGGATGGAGGTGTCACTCCTCTACAGTCTGACGCATAGCGTCCATGTTCTGTGTTTATGGGCACGTCAGAAATTCCTCCTATTTTTATATTGTCTGTTGGTGAAACTCAGGTTTGGACCAAAGCAGATTGAGCCAAACTATTAGTGTGGTTCAATTATTTATTTGATCAGAGACTGTGTACAGATTTGAAGTAGAGATCGACCTATGCCGTTTTTTTTGTTTTTTGTTTTTTTTTGTGGTTAATGTAGATACTGATTATTTTGACATCAGTCTAACTCTGTGGCTGGCAATGTCGGCCCTCGAGTTCCACTGCAGCTTTTGCATTCATCCCTGCTCAAACACAGCTAAAACAAAAGGCTGTTTCCTCCAGGGCATGTCGGGAAGTTCAGCAGATGCCTGGCCATTAAACATGTATTTGTGTTAGGTGCAAAAGTTGCAGGACAGTGGTTCTTGAGAGCCGACGAACCCCAATATGTGCTGCTGAATGTTTGGACCAATTCTTGAAGCCAATACTGCTCTTTCTGGTAAACACCTTAAAGAATTAGAAAATTCTGCAGATTTCCATTGATGCTTGATTTCAGCAAAATATTGTTACATTTATCTGTAATTGTAAGGTTGTCCCGTTTGCTTGTGGCCAGCTTGATATACAGCAGGATAAATTCGATATGATTGGAGCATAAAGGAAGGCTTTAGATACCTCAGATATAGTTTTCCGATTCATTAGATGGTAGCAAGATAATATGCTTTTTTCAAAACTGTGCCTAGCATTATTTAATGCCTATATATATATATATATATATTTATCTATATCTATATATATATATTTTTTTTTTCTTGAGTATTTCTCCTTTGATATTTACATTTTACAAGTGTTTATTTTTGTTTATTGATAAAATACATCAGTTTTGTGTTTCCTAACATATGAAGATAGACATGAGTCGCTTAACCAGGTTAAAAATGTTCTTTATGCTAACTGATAACTTTGCAGCCTATTTGTTCTGAGTGAATATTTGCAGATTCCAACTTCAAAAACATGGATATCGTAATAGGATTTCCCAATCAAAATGATTGGTTATATGAATAAAAATAACCAGTTCATTCATTCATCTATTAGAGCTTAGAGCTTTAAAGATAGTTAACACCAATTTACCATTTCATTATGACCAACTTAAGAAGAGGCACAAACAGTCGGAGACAGGAAAGAATTGATTGGATGTTCTGGAGGTCCTCAGGGATGCTGTATTTTTATCAGTAGAAAGTTGTTGGAGATATTTCTCTTATCACTGCGCCCTCGGTAGCTGGTGATGGGATTTCAGATTTAAACTATAACATGCATTGTCTTGCTGGTTTGGGTTTGTGTGGAATGACGTCTGAGTTTTCATTGATTACAGTACAGCGTCCTAAAAAAGTAGTCTTTTACGTTTTATTGCAACTTTTTAGTGTCATATTTTAATTCACAAAGACATTTTCAATGTTGTATGACTGATGCAATGTTCAACTCAATAAATCTGTTATTTAAAGTTCTGCACTCGATGCCGTTTGTTTTGTAAACCCATCTTTCACAAGTCGAGTCAAGATTCCTCCCTCCTTACTTCTTATGGCATGAGGGATGTATGAAAGCAAGTTTTACGCTCTCCGCATTTAGCCCGGCGCATCAAATGACACGGGGACACATGAGAAATGCCATCAAATCAAGATCTAGCATGTGAGCTTCTCGGCGTCGGCAAACTCCGTCCAATTTTTCACGACAATTAGAAGAGCGGGGAACAAGTTTGGAAATGTCAGCAGCTTAAGGGTGTGAGCGCCTAATGAAGCGAGGCCCCCACGTTCCAGGCGACTGCTCAGAGCTGCGTGCAGCCTCATACACATCAGCAAATCATTGGGCCAATAAATTAGACCAGCAGTGGCAAACATACACAACTTCTCTCCCTCCCCCATCTATTTCCTGTCCTTTTGTCGCGTACCACACAAGGTCTTTGGACATGACAAGGTGGAAAGGTCCCCCTGAGACAGAGCTGCGGACGCTGTGGCTGGGGGTCTGTTTGTCATTATTATATTCCATCTCACCTCCTGTTTCTCCTCTGGCCCGCTGACCCTGCTCTACCAGCACAAGCTTTGTTTCAGTGGAACTTCTGTGACTGTTGTCCTCTTTGCTTAGTTGTAAAAAAGAAACAACTTCTGTATCTCCAGAGGGTCTGAAAGCAGATCAGGTCAAAAATTGAGAGCAGCTGAAACATCAACCATTGGGAATAACACACTGTAAGATTACTTAATATGGTGTTACACTGTGTAGAAATGTCACTGTGGTAGTGAGGGAACGCTCTGCTAACAGCAAGTAACTATACATTCCTTAACTGGATTACTTTGCCAGAAAGCCAAGCCGTCAAAGGACCACAAGAGAGGTGGTGGTGAAGCTGTAAAACAATATTTGAAGGACTAAGAACGAAGAAATACTCCAAGGGAGTAAATGCAACATTTTTTAGGGGTGCACTCCACAAATCAGGCAGGTGTTGAAAGACTGCTATAAAAAGTGACTGTTACTTTTAAAAAAATTTTTTTTAACAAGCTTTATGGAGCATACAGCAGTGCTGGGCAATTAAACACTGATATCAGTTTAATCAGGGAGTAGAAAAGGACAGAAGAGATAATAAAGGTAAGCTTCAATATTCGGTAACAACCAGGCTATGTGGGGCCAACAATATTTTTATAGCTTTTTTTTTTTTTAAACATTTATGAAAAAAGAAAAATATGTGATAACAGACAATAGAACATTTGCAAGTCTCTTGACATCAGTAGCAACTTAAACGGCAGCCAGACTAACTACTAATGATGTCTGCAGAACATAAAGTCCGCTGTCCCCTCTCTCCCTTACACCACTATTATTAAGGATTTTTTACAAGATGTGGAAGAGATTGTAAACAGTTGTGTAAACTAGATTTGCATCATTTAATGCCACTAAAATAATTTTGCATTCTTAAACAGCAATACTTTCTAATCTAGATATCTTTATATCTAAAGGAAACATATTCCAGGACATTACAACTTTTTTCATATTCCTTTGTACTATATAAACTCTTTATACTGTCTGTTGTATTTTGATCTTTAATGGCATCTTGGTTTAACTCTTTTGTACTCTATATAATCTACTGGAACCAGTTTTTCCCTGGATAAGTAATCCAAAGGGATAAATAAAGTCAAAGTCTAAGTCTGATCTCACATTTTTAGATTAGAAAGTGTTTTTTCTTGGTTGTGAGAATTTCAAGGGAACAGTGTTAACTTCATAGTAGATTATCCGTTCCATTTGTAATAGATTATGTTCACCTGTTCAATTTATTTTGTTTCAGTCACTCAGCGCAAACGATCCATGCTAACTAAATATTAAACAATTGGTGAGGATAAAAAGGGAAGAAAACACCCAGCTGTACCTTACCTGATAATTGATTGGAAGAGTTGAACACTGATCCGTCCTGGAAGAAAACCTGTAAGATGTAAGGAGACTGTAGCTGCGCTAAAATTTGCTGTTTTAATGTGAGAAACCATAAACAAGTTTAAGGGGAATGGCTACCTTTCCACGTTCTTAATTTTCCTCTAAAATGACAAAAGTCCAGCTGTTTGACATCTGTGACTGGAAAAAAAAACAAAAAACATTTTTATGCAGTTATAGTGTATGAACACTTAGAAGGTAGACCTGACAAATCTCTGTTTCTTTCATCTTGTTTAAAAGAAGTTCCCAGTGTGGAAGTAGGTGATTTTAATTGGTTATCACTCTTCATAAAAACATCCTGACTGCCAAACTCTCAAAACACCCCGTCTAAAGAAGCAGAGCGCGGACGAGAGACCGGCATCTTCATGTTGATTATCAGCCCTTCTGCTGACCTTTAGAGCTGTGTGAGTCTGAGCTCAGCTGTTTATAAAGGGGGGGGGGGGGACCTGATGAATCTGAAGTGGTCTTACACAAGCAAAGAGATGGAGACAAGTAAAAGAGGAGAGAATGTTGTCCCAGAGGGCTCAAAGAGCACCGGCATCTATCAACAGAAGAAATTGAAGGGGATGTTTCCGAGCAGCAGAGATTAGATAGAGCTGTAGTGTTGAGAACTAAGGGTCACCGAATGTGATGCAGGAGTGACATCAAACATACAGAGCACGGTCAAACAGGGAGAGGCCTGCATGTGCACATAAATACATCTGTATCCACCCAGCAGCCCACAGGGGCCTCATGGATTGGGAAATGTGGGGTTTTATTTGCTCAGCAGCACTAACCCTATAATAATGATCTAAATATTCTTTTAAATAACTGCAATATTGATCCACAGTCTTTTTGATTTAGTTACTCATCATAATGGGCTTACAAAATCCCATTTAGCTTATCATGCAACCATCTTCATGTGAAAAAATGTTGTTGCACAGTGTTTCTCTAATATATCTGAATACTTGCATTTTTAGTATAAATAAAACTGAAATATACAGACAAAAAAGCTTAAGAATGGCTGTTCAAAAGTGTTAGTTAAATTTAAAAGGAGACAATTTCTGATAAAGTGACTATATAAACCTACCTTTATACCCACACCTCTATATTTTTTAAAAGAGCTGTTTAATGCCTTTAGAAGAAAAAAGGTGGCAGTTTGTATGGAAAGGTGGACATCTTCAAGAAAATTGAAATCAGCAACTTCACTGTATTAAAAATAATTACAGAGGAAAGCAACAAAAACAACTGAGGCGATACCCAGCTTGGAGGCGATCCACACAAGTTACCCTTAAAGTAGACTGAAGGATGCTTAAAGAAATCCTAAAATCCCTAAAATTTCCTTAGACCTGCAGAAGCTCTTTATTCTTGCTCCAGAACAGCATGCCTGTATGTGTTTGCTAAGTATAGATCATAAAATAAGACCTTTGTTGGACTGATGAGTCTATAATGTAATTATTTTGACACCAGAGCAAAGAACACGTTTGCCATAAACAAATCACGAAATATGTATTTAATAGATTGTCACAGTTTTTGCAACTTTAAATGTTATGACTTGGCTACCAATACCAAATCTCCTGTGTAAATAGATATCATCTTTGTGTTATTGGTATACGAGCAATTCCTGAAAATATTATATCTACATTTTGATTCTTTATTTAGAAAATTGTTTAATGGATTGCTGACCAGCTTTTTGCATGTTTCCATAGATTTTTTCTTTTGTGATGAGCTTTAAGTCTTTGAAGTTTCAATGCTTCCTTAACAGCAATTTAGAGTTTCATTTCCACCAGAGATTCTCCTTCACATTCGAGTCTGTTCAGGTTGCTTCTAAGCAAAAGAAATATTTTAGCACAATAAAAGCTTTGCTTTCAACCTAAATCTGACAGAGGTGTGATTAAGTCGATGGAAGTTTGTGAAAATAGAATATTTTGTTATAACAAAACAGTTCAAAGTGCTGTCCTTAACAAAACATTATAGGAGAACACAGTAAAACATACATATAGAGAGGAAAGAAAACTGATGTAGTTATTTTTTATTTAGCACAGATTTTAACTCTGAAAGGTTTATGTAACCTCTGCAGTATCTGTAAATTAAAGTTTCCTGCGTCAAGAGTCAACATTGTCTTTGCTTTATTCATGTTATCTGAGTCTCACCTGGAAGACTTAAAGGTCATATAGTAGCAATGGATTTTTCATCAAAATTAATGATAAAAAAAAAAAAAACATTCACAGAACATATAAGGTGTTGCAGACTAAGTTTATTAATTTTAATGAGGAAAGATGGTATATAGATGTTTTATGAACTTTGAAAGGT